GGGGGGGGTTAGCAAATGTGACAATTTTGAGCTTCCAATACGATAATTTCATATAACAAGACCTGGCAACGCAGAGGCGAAGTGACCGCCTGAGGGCCCTTCCAGCCTAGGGCACCCTCTGCCTCCAAATAAAGGAAGGCTTCAACTTGGATGGTGCAGTTCTCACTTACTGGAGATTATATACATTTAGAAATGTACTTCTATATTGTACATAAATATAATATAAATAAGACAATATAAAGGAGGCTTGTTTTTATGCTTGTTTAAATGCCGCTCTGCATATTTTTCAGTGTGACAGGGGTTTTTTTTCCAACAAATGTGACTAATTTTGAGCTTCCAATACAATAATTTCATATTTAAGACCTGGCAATGCTGGGGCAATGTGACCTTCCAAAAGCCCTTGCAGCCAGGCTCTGCTCTGATCCGATCCTAGGGCACCAGGAGCCCACAGACAGCCTTAGCATTTTTTTACCCTTTCCCAACCAGCCACAAAAGTGCCCTGGCTGGTACCTCATGAGGTCTGTTGCCCCAGCCTGAGTGGAAGGGTCTCAGAGGCAAACCAGCTTGGCTGTAAGCTTGTTAAACTCCATGCCTCACAAGGCCATGCTGTAAGTATTTTAAAAATGTGCTTTAAAGTCCAAAGAAGTCCCTTGAGGTTGTCATTTAAGTACTGCCCACCCTTTAGACATGCATGAAATTAGGAGCCACGGGTTGTTTTTGGTTTTTTTGCTTCCCCAGACTTCTTTTAAGGGTGTCATATCTCATTTACCAGCTCCAGAAAGGCACATTTGTGATTAAACTGCTAGATCATGCTCATGGAGGTCCCAGGAGCAGCCTGTTTTAGCAAACAAAGGTTGGATTTAAGTGGGGGAAGGGAGTGGGGGAATAAAGCATTTGCGTTACACTACAGAGGCATGTTGCAGAATCATAGACAATGAGAGTTGGAAGGGACCTTAGGAGGCCATCTAGTCCAGCGTTTCTCAACCTGTGGGTCACAAAAATATATGAAAGGGTTGCAAACGCACTTTAAAAATGGATCAACAAACTTTAAAACTGGATTCTCGTTTAAGAGAAAAATGTGATAAGCTGCGGGTTTTCCCTTGCAGGCTGACAGAGTTTCAGCCTGTAAGGGGCTGCTTGGAGGTCCCCCTTGCCTCACAATGGGGGAGCTGGGGCCTGGGGCAGCAGGTCAGGAGTGAGGGGCATCAGCAGGGCTGTGGGTTGTTTTCTACTTAAAACTGGGTACTGGGTCAGGACTGGCCATCAATGTTTACAATGGGTTTTGGTACAAAAAAGGTTGAGAACAGCTGATCTAGTCCAACCCCCTGCTCAAAGCAGGACTACAACCTCTGAAACCCTGTCTCTGGCAGACTGGGACAACTGACTGCATGTGGTACCTAACTGGTACACTTTTCTGCTCATGTTTCTCAAATAAGTTCTAATATAACTGACTGAAATCTTACTTGGCATTAAAAAGGAAAAAGGAAAAACCTTCCCTAAAGAGCAGACCAGAAGCAAGGTAACTTTTTTGAAGTTTGTATTTCTTCTCCCTTGGGATCTCATTATTTGCATATATGGTAAGCTGAGTTTTAAACTGAGTACTGTATCATTACCCTCGCCACTCACCCAGGAATAAGCCTGTCTGGGTATCCTCCACTGTGCGAAGCTGCTCTGCGCTGCTGACCCAGCCTGCCTGGCAGGGTTTCAGAAGCAACCCAGCTGGACTATAGGCTTGCTAAGCCTGGCCAAGCCGTGCTGTAACCCCAACGCCAGCAAGCAGCTAAAAAAAGTGCTTTTTAGATCAAGTCTAAAAAAAGGTCCCTTGACATCCTTATTTCAGGCCCCAGTGCTACTGCCCCAATGCAGCGTCCTGCAGCTCGCAACAACTTGCTTTGGCTTCTGTCCAGCCCCAGCGGCTTCGGGGTGGCGCATGCGCACTGCTCCCGGCCACTTCCATGTGGGGGGTAACCCCCCACCGCCTGCAGAGCGGCCCCTCAATTCTTACCGCCTCCCCCTACAGCGGGTGCGACTGCGTCATGAACCCAGACCGCTGGGACGCGACCAAGAACGCCTCGTGCCGCCTTCCCCACCCCGCGTGTCCCACGTTCGGCAGTCCGGGGGGCCGTTGTCATGGATGATGCCGCCCTCCCCACCTCCGGGAGTGGCACTTACCAAGGCGTGGCCAGGCCCGGAGCGACGAGGGCTCCGCCTCCTCCGCTTCCCAATGGCCCCGGCGGCGGCGGCGGTGCAGACACTTCAATCTCCCGTGGAGGCTGCTCCGCCTGCGTCGCCTTCCTATAATGCTAATGTGCCCTCTCTGTCTGCGCTCGTGGTTTGTCCCACCGGCCACACCTGAGCAGGGCACCTGGGGCTTGTACCATGTGTGAAGGGGGGGAGGGAGGAAGAATCGGGCAACACTACTAAGGCATAACTAACGTGCGAGAAATTGTCAGTCCCACAAAAAGCGGAAGCGAGGCTGGGGAATAAGCTGATGCACGCCCTCCCTCCCACGCCGCCAACCCGGAATCAGAGAATGGTACAGTCCAGGGACACCGTTCTTGCCTCAGGGCAGAAACAAGGTGCTCTGGCAGGGGACGGGGCCAGAACCAAGGGGCGGAGTCAGGCTGCTCAGAAACCCAGGTGGCCGCGCTCCCTTCTGCCTCTCCACACACGCGTTCTGGCCAATGGGGTGGGAGCTGCTCGGAGCCCTGGTGTTGCGCTGTCTGGCACAGCCCACACGTGTGTGGGCGAGTATCCCGCATCAGGAGTGGCCTTGATCGGGGCGCTTAGATCTAGCAACACGTAAGAACTGCCTTTCACTAGGGCAGACCATAGGTCTATCTGGCTCAGTCCTGTAGCCCTGGATGCAGATGTGGTGTGAACTGGGCGTGATACAGGGTTCCCACCCCTGCCCACTGTTTCTTTCTTGCGTGCAGCCTCCAGCATTTAGGGTTTGAGAAGTTATGATTCAAGGCCTGTGCCACTAACTCCCCTGCTCCACCAGTAGTGCTGCCCCTTTCCTCCCAAGACTTTGTACAACCCCTTTTTTTGAAGCTGGCTAAACTCAGCTTCCACAACATCTGGTAGCAACGAGTTCCACCCATCAAGGAGAAGCAGTGTGAAAACTTCCTTATGCTTTTTTTTCAAACTTACTACCTACTAGTTTTCCTGTTGTGACCCCCCTTGTCTTGTGAGAGGGAGTAAATAATAAATCCCTATCTACTTTATCTTCCTGTTTAATATTTGGAAGGCCCTTGTTGCGCCCCCTGAACCATCTCTCTTTCTAAACTGAATAGGTGTAGCCTGGCCTGCAGGAGCCCCCGCAGCCAGAACAGATCTAAAAATGTGGGGGGTGGGGAGAATGTGGCAGTAGTTGCCATTGCTGTGCTACCAAATGGCCAGACCTGTGGGGAGCCCCGTGGGCAGTGCCAGATTATGACATGCTGAGGCTCTAAACTATGTCGTTTAAGAGGCTCCATAAGATAAAAATAATCCACAAAATCCATGAAAATGGGTTTTCATGAAATTTTAAGATGCAATATTATTATTTCTGCACACATTTATGAACTCAATATGAATAATAACTGTGGAGCCATATATATGTATATTTTTGTCATATTAGAATGAAAATGTCCAGATTTTTTTTCCTTATTTAGAGGCCCTTCATATTGTGAGGCCCTAAACTGTACCTTAAGTAGTTTAAGCCTAAATCTGGCACTGCCTGCAGGCTGGATGCCATGCTAAACTGGCCACGGAGGTGGCCCAGGGCCCCATGTGGGCATGCAGAGACCAGCTGGAGGCAGTGCAGGGTCTCAGTCCTCCAGTGCAAGGCTGAGCAGAGTCAGAGTGGACCCCAGGGAAGCAGTACAGGGCCCAGTCCAGCACAAAGGATCCGTGCCACTCATCTGGCCCCTGGCACCAAAAGGTTGAACACCACTGGTTATTATTAAACTTCTTCCAAAAAAGGGTGTCTCCAAAAAAAACATTGAATCTGAATCAGTTTTTCAGCCAAATACTTCTGCCATTTCAGAAGACAAGATGAGGCAAAAACAACCTTGCTACCCTCCCCCTCCCCCCAAAAAAATGTTAGCTGAGGTTTTACAGTTATCTTTGGAAGTGTCTCTATGCTACAGAGCAAGGGCTTGAGAGCTAGCAGACAACCTTTTCCATGTTGTAAAGGATGAGTCTTTTCCTGTTCCAATAGGGCAACCTCTTCAGATTTGGTCAAGTTATCAGCCTTAAAAATAATGTGTCGGGGAGGCTCACTGTTCAGTAAAGATTTGCTGGAGTTTGGCAGCTATAGGCTGCAAAGGCTCCATGCTTAGGGATGAGCAAAACTTTTTTCTGTAATTGCTGCAGGCTTACTGTTAACCCAGGCCCAGACACTTGGGAGTCATCCAACTTATCCTTGCACTCAAGGATCACTGGAGAAGTAGCAGTCTAATAAGAAGACAGTGGGAATGAGAGCTGATGGCCATGGGCTCTGGAGGGAGTGAAGCGGGACAAGGAGTTGGAGTTGGGAAGAAATGTTGACTTCTTTTTAACATAGGTTTTGAAAGTTATTATACAAAGAGGTAGCACACTGAATACACTGTCCAATTTTGGTCATCCAGTCTCCAAAAGAGAATAACAGAAACAAAGGAGCTTAGTTAAAAGTTTCTTTAAATCTGTAGGCGGAAGTTAGGGAGGACTAAGCTAGGTTACATTCTAGGAAAGAAATCAAAATGTAAAGATAATACTATTGTCTTTATTCTAGCAAAGTTTCTTTTCATGAGTCTTTTATTTTGCCTTTTTTAATAATAAATATAAAAGATCTAAAACAGGGCAATTAAAATAATTCTAAACTGAAGACATTTCCTTCACAAAGAGATATTTGAGCAGACGGGACAACTAGATCTGTTTTAGCTGACAGGAGACAAATATGCGGTAACATATTATAATAAAAAGGCTTCAGTTGAGCAGACTTATTTTCTCATTTTCTCAGAATGTAAGAATAATGAACAATACATTTAAAAAGCCAAGACCTCAAAACCAATAAAGGTTTATTATTATTCAAATGTGTATTTAACTTGTGAATTCACTGTCATCTGATATTATGGACCTCTGTTTAATGGAAACCAAAACAAGAATTGGGCATTTTATATAAGCATTTAAATTAGTTAGGATAACTCTAATAACCGTCATGAAGGCTCATACTTTAGGATATATTTAGTAAATCAACCACTGGCTGTATGGGATTGAGAAGAAAAACTCATTTTAGGCCAGTTACATGCAAACATATTCTGTAGGAGGGCTTCATCTTCATCTGGCCATTTGTTTGGAGACAGAAGAATAGCCTCTAGATCAGGGTGGCCAACCTGCAGCACAGGTGGCATAAGTGGCACAGGCAACCTGTGTGTGTGACACACGGCAAATCAGGGAGAGGACAGGCAGCACAGCGGCAGATAGGACACAAAGCAGAAAGCAAAGCAGCAAATTGAGCGGGGAGTACAGGGAAGGAAAGGAAGAAGCAAGCAGATGAAGCAGGGAGCATAGAGCTGGAAGCAGAAAGCAGAACAGCAGAACAGACAGAAGAATGGGATCAGCGTGGCACTTGGTGAGGGGGTGGAGCTAATTTGTGGCACACCTGTCAAAACGGTTGCCCTGCTACGTGCTCTAGACCATTACATTATTTTGATACGTTCTGATTCAGTACTGCAATTCTTAACTACATGGAGTAGTACTTTTCATCAGGGGTTGGCAACCTGTAACCCGCAGGCCAGATCTGGAGTTGACATGGACATTCAGCAGCGGGGGGGCTTTGAATATAGGCATTTTCCTTACTGCTGTGGGCAGAAGCACTGATTGTGGACAAGTCCTTGTTCCTGCCCACCTCAAACCAGAGGTGAATCATTCCATCCTGCAGCCAGAAAAGGTTGCCTACTGCAGCTTTACATCACAAGTTGTTCTTCTGAAGTCAGTGGAAGAAGCTGTAGGGAGAGATACATCCCAATAAGAGTTTGGCTATCACAATCTGGTGTTCAGATTCTAAGAGACTGACAGTGGTTTGCTTTGGCAAGCAAGGGTGGTTCCAAGCTTCTTTCTCCCATATCTGAATTGTCTACTCAAAGCCATAGGTGTAATTCTCTCTTGTTAATACTGTCCTTCAAAAGATTAATACATACTGTTCGCTGATTTTCTTGCTTGTAGCAGATAATTAGAATTTCTTACTCTGGGTCAGTTCACGCTGACATACAGATCTGCTGCTGAAAACCAGCAGTTTTTCTTCCCACACACAACCTTTGAACAGGTATACAACAAATTATTAAAACTATTTGCGCTAAGTAAACCAAGCTGCAGCATAAAGTGCTGGGAAAGATGCATCTTTTCTAACAGTTTAAAGCAGGGGCTGGCAACCTTTTACAACCTGTGGGCCAGAACAACCGAGCTTTGGGCCAGCACAGGCCAGCTGTCCAGCAGGAGGCAGGGAGCACTTTCCCCATGTCATGACCCAAAAGGCATGATTGTGTGTGTGTGCTTTGGCATCAGAATTATCCACGTTAAGTTGCAGAGCATTGCACGGGAGTTTCCTGTAGCAAGAGGAAACTCCTGTGCAGGGACCAGTTTCCCGCCTTTTCTGCAGCTTCTTTTGCAGAGTGCATTGCTCGAGTTGCAAGAGGAATGCACGGTGCAAAAGAGTTCCCGCCACCGGTATGCAAATTTGTTCCCCGTGATTGGCTAGTGCTAAATTATTCACACGTGGCGGCTAGCGATTGGCCTGTTAGCCGTATAAGAGGCTTGAGCAGTTTCCGCCCAAGCTAAAGAGGACTCCACATCCATCTCGTGGGGACTCTGGGTACATGGCAGGGTAATGGAAACCCTGTGTGAGATCCAGAGGAGCATGGTGGCCTGATCCACCGCCCACCTCTTCCCGTCTTCGAGCGCGACTAATATAAGACGTATTTACAATTTCTACATTGGTGGCCTGTTCACCCAGAGCATCCGGAGCTCTGCACCGTGGAGCCTAGCAACCTCCATGAGACCGTCTGTGTTGTGTCTGTCTGTAACTACAACTTAATCAAGCTTTCCAGCCTACACCATTGCCATCTCGGTGTAAGTAAACAATCTTTTAAACTACCGGTACGCGTCCGTGCCTAATTCCAGAGCGAAGGCCTTCCCTCTCCGCCCCCGCATGCCCGGGCTGCTGGCCACAGCCCGCGTGCAGCGCGAAAAAGGGCTCGGGGCGCTCCCGGCCCGCACACCCCACACCAGGGCCAGGAATTGTGCATGCTTCTCCAAACCCCCACTCCCACACCACAGCTTGGGGGGGATCTGCGGAAAGGGGCAGCAGCATGGATACAGTTAGCGCGCGCCTAGCCCTGACCCAGCTGAAAGCTGCATCTGCACTGCAGGGAAGAAACAGAGCTGGGGAAAGCATGGGTATAGTTGCTTGGCCTTGGGGTCAGTGCAGGCAAGCCCCACCCTACTGCTGATGCACTGTTGAAACCATTTGGCCTGTGTTGAAACGGAGCTGGGAGGGCGGGGAGAAGTAACAGTAGCACAAGCACAGCAGAAAGCTGCTCAGCCTTGGCACAGCTCCTTGGTACCCGAATGCAGCCCATGTGCTGCCA